ACTAGAGAGGAACTCGACTTTCTTGAGGAGGTAAAGGAGAAGGCAGCAATCAAGATGATGGCCTACAAATGAAGAGCCGATGGATACTTCAATCGGAGGGTAAAACCAAGAACCTATCAGCTAGGAGACCTCGTTTTAAGGGATGCAGCAGCAGAAGGACACCTCCCAAGAAAACTCGGACCAAACTGGGAAGGCCTTTATGAAATAATCTGCAACCTGGGGAAGGGAGTTTATAGCCTGAAAGACATGAGAGGAAGACCACTGGGTAGGCCATGGAACGCAGAGCATCTCAAAAGATATTACCAGTAGACTTCAGGATAGACACACAGGCTATGTTATTGTAAATACAAGAGAATAGGTTTAATTTCCTCCATGTAACGCCTTACAAAGGCGCCTTTAGTTACAATTATTTATCGTGTTTAATGAAAAACCTTGGTAGTGACAGATGATGAGAGCGCTAAGGAAGGGCCAGCCTAGCTGGGACGTCCTGGTGCGCCTACTGAGCTCACGAATCTAAGTATTTTTTATGCTAACATGCAGTCTTGAATCTCCCATGCTCATCCCGCAAGGACATGCAATTGACATAGCCCATGCGGCTATGTGGAAAGCCTTGAAAAGCTAAAAATTGGCTAAAGCCCTTGACCGCAAGACCCCTCTCCAGACAGTCGACATAGCCCACGCGACTAGACGGAGAGCCTTGAAAAGCCAAAAAATCTTGGCTAAGGCCCTTAACCGCCAGACCACCTCCTGACGGTCGACATAGCCCACACAGCTAAGCAAAAAGCCTTGGAAAGCCAAAAATTGGCTAAGGCCCTTGACCGCAAGACCCTCTCTCAACGGTCGACATAGCCCAAGCGGCTAGGAGAAGAGCCTTGAAAAGCCAAAAAAATTGGCTAAGGCCCTTAACCACCAGATCACTTCCTGACGGTCAACATAGCCCACGTGACTAGCGAAGAGCCTTAAAAAGCCAAAAATTGGCTAAGGGCCCTTGACCGTAAGACCCCTTTCCCAACGGTCAATATAGCCCATACGGCTAAACAGAGAGCCTTGAAAAGCCAAAAAATTGGCTAAGATCCTTAACCGTCAGACCACCTTTTGACGGTCGACATAGCCCACGCGGCTAGGCGGAGAGCTTTGAAAAGCCAACAAATTGGCTAAGGCCCTTAATTGCTACACCCCCTCCTAACGATCGACATAGCCCACCTGGTTAGGCAGAGAGCCTTGAAAAGTCAAACATTACCTAATGCCCTTGACCGCAAGACCCCTCTCCCGACGGTCTACACAATCCACGCGGCTAGGCAAAGAGCCTTGAAAAGCCAAAAATTGGCTGAGGCCTTTGACTGCAAGACCCTCTCCCGATGGTCGACATAGCTCACATGACTAGGTGGAGAGCCTTGAAAAGCTAAAAAATTGGCTAAAGCCCTTAACAACCAAATCACCTCCTGATAGTCGACATAGCCCATGCGGTTAGGCGGAGAGCCTTGAAAAGCTAAAAAATTGGCTAAGGCCATTAACTGCAGACTCCTCTCCCAATGGCCAACTTAGTTCATGCGGCTAGGCGGAAAGCCTTAAATGGTCAAAATATTAGCTAAGGCCGTCAACTGTTATAATCAAGCCGAGCACGTGTGGGACGTTACCATTCACCCATGCTATCAAACGACTGAACGAGGAAGACAACGCTAGAAAAAACAAGTTAAAAAAACGATGCGTTCAACATTAATAACCTCTGATAACAAAGCATTCATACAAAAACACATGTGATGTGCTCTTGTCCACACCCTCGACATGTAAGGAATGATGCTACAAGTAGAAATAAAAGGCAACACAAAAAAGAGGGGGACTAACAAAAGGTACTACCACTAAGCCAAGCTTCAACTCGAAGGAGAAGCACCGCCACTGCTGCCCCGCGACGAATGACCAAGTGACTTGGATGGCTACACCCCATTCTCCTTCTCCTTGCGGTGTGCAAGGAACTTATCAAAACCTAAGGGGTCAATAGAAAGGTGCTCAGTCGATATCCACTCCTTGGTTAGTTTGATAGATGCCGCCATCATCTTCCCCCCGTATGAATGTAAGGCCCTAGCATAATCAAACGATGACTTCTACTGCTCCACCAATGCATCTAAGTCCTTAGTATACTCGACAGAGGCCTTATACCTCTCAACCGCCTCCTCTGGAGCATGAGCCAACGCAGACCGCAAATTGTCATTCTCTGTCTCCTACTCGCGGGCTCAAGCTTCCGACACCTCTAGAGATTTCTTCAAGGAAGCTATCTTTTTCTTATAATGATGAGCCTCTTTCTTCTTTTCTTCTGCAAGAGTCTTCAACTCTGATGCCTGACGACGACTTGATTCCACAAACTTGGTCTGAAGGGCCACCACCTAAAAGATGAGGAGACAATGAGAGAGTCGTGTGGTAAAATCATGTTCAAAAGATAAGATTCAGTGTAAAAGAAAATTGGAATTAGAAGCATACCCTCTGGAGATAGACAACGACAACCCTCTCGATGTTGTCTGCGCTACGTCCTGCAATCGCTCTAGCCCGTGCAGGTATCACCAAAGAGTTAAGCACCCCCATCTCATGATAACCTCGGGTGGGAGGAAACCCAAAATTAGGAAGTGAATCCTCACGCTCCCCCCCTTCCCCCCCCCCCCCCCCCCCCCCCCCCCCACCACACCACCACCCCCCCACCACCCCCTTCGTGCATTCGACTAGAAGAACTCGGTCTAGGAACAGGAGCAACCTCGATAGGCTCATTTGAGGGTTGGGGAGTCTCTTTTGCTACCTGAGACCTTCCTCCTTGGTCAGCTGTCTTTTTCCTCTTTAAGGGGACGGGAGATAGCTCAATATCACTTCTATGCCCTTGTTTAGGTATAAAATCCATGGTCCCCTCCAGGTCAAATTTCATCCCTGCATATGCAAGGTAAGATCTATCAGACTTGCAAATGAAAAGAGTATGAAAACACAAAATAAGAAAGGGAGGCGCAAGAGTTTATCGTCAATGGGAGTGAGACCCTTGTCACTTCTCAACGAGGTCTTCAATACCTCGTCTAGATCGAAGTCCATATCTGTATGCACATGCCCAAACTGATTAGTCCTAAAAAGCAACAAATAAGAAATATGTGCAAGTCAAAAATAATAGAAACCAACAGAAGCAACCTACTAGTAGGACGACTCATCCCCACTATCCACATGTTCCTCATGATGAGGACCGATCCTAAGTCAGGTGCAAGAGGGGATATATCAACCAACTGTTGGATTTGAGCTTTTAGGGTAGAGGAAGCTTCTACTTGACTATTGAAAAAGCGAATTTAAAGATGCCACCAATTGGTATTGAAAGGAAATCGACCTACTGAAGGCCAAGCGAAGAAGAACCAAGATTTCCACCCGCTATTCGAATTCCTAAACCTAGGAAATAGTAAAGGGACCCTAGTGGTAAAAAAGACAAACGCATTGAACTAAACCAGTTCATAAAGACACACCTAAAGTGGTCTATGGAAAGTGGAATTCTCCTCCTAAGGCAAACATACAAGAAGTACAATGCTTTTCTCCAAGCATTGGTGTTTATTTGACTAGGAATAAGATAAAACTCATTGAAAATTGACATAAAGAAAGGATGAATGGGTAATCGAAAATTGCCATCCATGATGTCTTTATACACCGCTATCTCGTGGGGTCAGACCCGGGGAGCCTCTCTTTGGGACTGGGGGCTCTATAGACATAGTCATCGACCCGGTCTACCTGGCAAGACATTTCTCTAACATGAGCGGGGAATTCTAAAGGCTATAACCTCTTGGAATCTAGAGAGGGACAATCTCACCAGCCGGATCCCACCCGATTTCTAAGTTTTGATGGGAAGCTTGGTAGAGCCAATATGCCTCTTGGGAGAATTAGAAACAAACATTTGAGGTTCGGTTGAAGAAGTCCCGTTATCGAAATCACGAATGGATCTATTGGATGAAGGGGAGGATTCATTAGGCAGCCTATTCAAGGAGTCAAAAGAACGATCGACTCAAGGGGAGGCCGAAGGTCGGTCGGCCGGAATGTGGGCCGACCCCCGACCAGCCCCGTGACTGGTTGCTGCTAGAAGGTTCGGTCGACCCATTACACTCCCCGCCACCACTTTGGAAGAAGATGTGATGATGGTCTTATACATGAAAAGAGAGAGAGAGAGAGAGAGAGAG